AACACCGAAAATCCCGTTCCTCGGTCTTTCTTTGCTTCCAAACCCACGGAAACGCTTGCTACGCAGGCTAAGCCATGCCCACATTGGTCTCCTTTTAGGGAACTTTTATTCAAATTTTTCGACAAACATCCTCCACATTTTCATATATATGGGAGTTTCCCAGGGTACAGTGACAAGCAAACTTGGTTGCCTGTTTTGTCACCTACATGTACACTGTAATGCAAGTCTAAATGCAAGTTCAACACTATCTGTGCCTCAGACTGGTCAGGGTTTTAAAGAATTTTAGAACCTTATTGGCCACAATTATTCTTCAAAAACAACTGAGCCACATTGAAACATCTGCTTGATCATGAGAATTAAATTATTCTCTGTCATGATATCATTTAAAATGCCTAAGCACTAGCATCATTATTTGAACATTCCCCATTAATTCAATAACCTTGTTACAATACAGTCATACTTTTATGGCCAAATGGTGGTCACATTACTCACAAACCTTGGGTGATTCCTCTAGGATGCAGTCTCCAATGTACTCCATGAGCTGCCCTGATGTAATATATGTCTGCTGGGAGGGAAGATTAATTCGTCTCTGCAGAAGTAGTACGTTTACAATTGCCAGCAGAGGGCAAGGACCGTTCTCATTTTGAGTGATGATAGGGGTGTTAATTCCTTTCCATTTTATCCACTTGATGTGATAAAGTGACTCTAGAGCCTGTTGTTCTTGGGCAGTCCTTGTTTCAGCGTTTTCCTTTCCGACTTCACTTCCGGTTCCTGCCGTCAACAAAGGTTCGTCCCCTGGAACTTCTAAACCGGAGTCGAGGGCATTTGTTGTGATATCGAGTTGCGTTGAACTATCGCTCCCCTCTGATACACTGGCGTCTTTTAATGGTTCACTTGTCGGGGATACCTCAACAGTACTACCGCTGTTTTCCGTTATTTGCAAGTGGCTTTGCGTTGTGTCTTGTTCATTGTTCGTGCCGTTCTCGACCTCTGCTGGAGTTGTTTTATTCACGAGTTCGAGTTCGCCAGCATTTTGACTGCTCGTCGGACCACCTTGCAATTCTGTCTCGCCTTGTTCACTTGATTTCAAATCACCGCTAGCGACTTCCACAGGTGACGAATTTCGTTCACCCACGTTCGTATCTGTACATGCAATTTCATCGCTGTCCTCGCCCCCGCCGACTTCCAAGGTTTCCTCTGAACTCTCCAGAAACCCTGCAGGGCCTTGTGTTTCGGTCTCGTCAACTGACACTGTGGAATGGAGTGTACTGGCAGGGGGATCGTTTAAAAATTCATCACGACTCGATTCGGAATGCCCAGTTAGATCCTCCATTTTAAGTCCACGTATCCGTACTCGACACTAATATGAGGAGAACAATTGCAGGAACAGGCGATTTTCACACCTCAACCTTCGTGGTATGCATGAATTTTATATTCGGCTTCACACACCACTACAAAAGATGAACTCGCCGAGACTTCTTCCAAGCCGTCCCCGAGAATAGCTTTGCTGCAAGTGCTATGGTGCCTCCAGCAAACGAACAGAATAATCCAAGCTGATAGTATTCTTCAGACGCCCTTCAAGTTGTTGTTCTTGGAGAAAAGTTAACACAATTTGATACTGTGCTTCAATTCAGTGTTACTTAGCTCTTGACTTCCAGGTGAAAAGAGTCAGCCAAATAACAACATTTTCATTTTTTGATAAGGCCATTCAATTAAACATCTGAAATTCAGGAGAATCGGGCGAAAAATGAATAATTTACAACGTGTTTTCCAAAGAGGTCATATCCGAGATAATAAAACCAGCGCCATGTTTTGCCAAAAGTACCATCGGGCCTTGCGCTATCTTGATATAGTACGTCATGTAAGACGACGTCAAGCGACAACCGGAAATACGTCTGAGTTCGTAGGCTACGAAATGTCATGGTTTCCAAAAATTTGCATCTCGCTGAATATTCATGAACATAAACAGGACGGAAAATGTTTTATTAGTTTAAACAGTGAAAATTGGGTGATAAACTTCCAATATTCTGCACAACATATATTGAGTTCTTCTACCGCTGTGACATAGTTTTTCTTTTAGTGATGGAAGGGATCTGATATCAATGGCGGGAAAAGCTAAAGAATTGGAATGTCGCAGATGACCCAGAATCAAAAGTCGTTGTCGCACTGAAAAACATTGCGGCTTTCTTTAGCAACGGAAGAATCCAGCTGTTAAAAAGTCTTTGCTGGAATCTAAAGTATAACGTTCAGTCAGGATCACAGCCTATTAAGTTACTTGGCAGCACGGGAGAATGTCTGGAGACCGTCGCACCCTGTTTTGGCGATCTGTTGTTTGTTGTTTGCTTTTATCGTTTGCGCGAGTCGCTCAGAACTTTCCAAATCATGGCAGTCAGCTTTTTCTAGGATTTAATTATTGGAATAATCGTTACTCCTTGAGCTATCCCGATTGGCCCGGATTTTGGAACAACAACAATAATGGAAGAGTACAGTACAATCGCGATAATTCAGAGTTCAATGTAGAGTCTTGCGGCGGTTGTTCCTGCAGCGACCAAACAGCTACCATAACCTGTACTGGCCCAACTGTGTAAGTAGAGTGCTAAAGTTTGCAATTCATTGCTCTTCTCGTAATCAATATTGAAATCTATATTGCATTTGTTTATCTGTGTCGCGAACAACCTACTTGAAATGTGTCAAGTTGTCCCTCCCGTTATTGCATTCTTATCTCACTAAACAAGCTATAAATAAGTCCCGGTTAGATCTTATGCTACATCCGTAGTTAGTTGTATTGTCGAATAGTAACAACAAGTACAATTATTGCCACATGATTATTAGTGGTTGTTAGCGCTTGATTTTACTCTGTTTTACTCCAAATGAGTATATTTAATTTATAACTGATAAAGCCTGACGCACTTGGGACGATATCGATCGATAAGCTGCTCGCCTCTGCAAAGAGGATTATAGATAAACATCAAGTGTTACTTCTATGTTGAATGATCTGGAATGGCAATCCCTAGCCTCTCGCCTTAAACAAAGCCGCTTATATGCGGTATGTCGACAAATTGTTAACTTAACG